GCACCTGCTCTCTGTCCCGCAGTGGGGGAGGGGGCTGAGGCACCTGCTCTCTGTCCCGCAGTGTGCCCCGGGCGGCTGCCTCATGGAGCTCTGTATCCAGCTCAGCATCATCATGCTTGGCAAGCAGCTCATTCAGAACAACCTGTTTGAGATTGGCATCCCGTGAGTGCTTTGTGGCCCTGGGCCCACGCGGAGCCAGGGGTGGGGGATGGGGCCCTGTGGTGGTCTGGGTGGGGGACAGGTGGCTGGGGCCTGGACCAGGATGGGGCACCAGGAAGAGGGAGGTGGTGAGGGCAGGCAAGGAGAGGCAGGACAGAGCTACCCCATGGGGGACTAGGAGGGGGCGGAGGCTGAGATGACCCCCCCTGCTCCGCAGCGGGCTGAGGATTCGGGGTACTGACAGGCACCCCCAGACACACAAGCCGGCTCCCTGTGGTCGGCAAGTGGACCAGCTGGAGGCTCTGTGTCCCTGGTCCCTTTGAGAGTCACGTCCTGTTTCCTCAGCAGATTGCCCTCTGCAATCAGGGACATGGGATGGTTTTCTGTGACCCCCGCCCCACCCCCCACCGCGCTGACCCCTGACACCGAGCCCTTCCTGGGGCTTCAGGTGGCCGTGTACCCTCCATGCACCTGTTGCTATGCCCACACTTGACCCCTGCCTCTGCGGGGAAGGGCACAGGAAATCCTGGACGGAGAAGCCTTCGCAGATGCGTTAGGTCAGGGCTTTAAAGACTCGACGGCTCAGAGCATTAGAAGCACAACTTGGAGGTGACAGTCCCCAGCGCCCAAACCCGTCTTCCCAGACCCCTAACTGAAGTGATGGTGTGTCCCCTCAGGAAGATGAAGAAGTTCATCCGCTACCTGCGGCTGAGGCGCCAGAGCCCCTCGGACCACGACGAGTATGGGAAGAGGAGGCAGCGCTACGAAGTGGACTACACGCTGGAGCCCTTCGCAGGCCTCACCCCGGAGTACATGGAGATGAGTGAGTGGGGGCCGGGGGGCCGGCTGCAGCCCCCTGCCCTGGACGGGGGTCTGGAGTGCTCGGTGGGCTAAGCATCTGACCCTTGATACGGTTATGATCTCACAGTTCACGAGTTTGGGCCCCACCCCGGGCTCTGTGCTGACAGTGTGGAGCCTACTTGGGGCTCTCTCTCTCCTCTCCTGTTCGTGCGCTCTCTCAAAATAAATAAACAAACTTAAGAATAAGAGGAGATAACCCAGGGATGGAGCCTTGTCACCAGCTATGGTGTCACTGGACAGGAGGGTGCTCAGAGGTGGCACGCGACTCTCAGTGTGGTCAAGAGAGAAGGGGGGGGCGCCCAGGGGGCTCAGTCGGTGAAGCGTCCGACTTCGGCTCGGGTCATGATCTTGCGGTTCGTGGGTTCGAGCCCCGCGTCGGGCTCTGTGCTGACAGCTCGGAGCCTGGAGCCTATTTTAGATTCTGTGTCTCCCTCTCTCTCTGACCCTCCCCTGCTCATACTGCCCCTCGCTCTCTCTCTCTCTCTCTCTCTCTCTCAGAAATAAATAAAACATTAAAAAAAATTTTTTTAAACAAGAGAGAAGTGGGGAAAGGGCAAGTGCGGCCTGCGTGGCCGCCTGGAGCCCCTCAGCCCCACTTCCTCCCTCCATTCCAGCCAGACTGGCCCCTGTGCTGTCACCCAAACACTCGGAGCTCATGCCTGCCACAGGGCCTTTGCCCTAGCTGTGCCCTGCCTGGCATGCTCTTTCCCTAATACCTGCATGGCCTGCTCTCTCCCTTCAGACCCCACCAGAGGGGTCTTCGTGACCACAGGGTTTAAAGGGTCAGCCCTTCCCCTGCACAGCTGTGACCCTCTGCCTCCCCCCCGCTCTGACCCTCAGCCCCAGCTGACATCTGCAGTCCCCGTCATGCCTTTGCCTCTGTCTCCCAGCGCAGTGATGGACATTCTGTGAAAACAGGACCCTTTTTCCCTTTCGTGGCCATACTCCCTACGCCCAGAACAGATCCCGGCTTATGGTGGGCACTTGGTACACGTTCGCTTAGTGAACAGACCAGCAAAGGCGGTCAGGAAGACCCCTGCAGAGGGTCCCAGAGTGGAGGGCCCCTGGCCACCACGGACAGCACATTTTAAATGCTGGCTCTGGGGCCTGGTCTGTGCAGGGTGGGGCCTGCGACCTGGCATTTTTAACAAATATCAGCGAAGTCAGTGTCATGCCCAGCTTCCCAGATGAGTGTTCAAGAAGAACCTTGCCATTGACTCAGAAGGAAAAGCATCTTAAGACTGAAAAATGGGAACCGTGCGGTGCTCAGACGCCACTCTGTTTTCTCCTGCAACAAAATCCAAGATGAACCAGAGAAGGTCAGGCAGGTCCCTCGCCCCCGTGGGCCCCCGTGGGCCCGCTCCCTACCGGGCTGCGTAGACTCAGCCCTGGGTCCAGGAGGAGGGTCCCTGTCACCTGCCTGAGGCCAGCGGGGGGCAGACAGCAGGAAGAGCGGCCGTCGCTGGCAGGAGACAAATGCCTCCCCGGATTTCAATTCCTACGGAGGCTGGAGCTGGCATCGCTTTCCTGTCTGGTGTGGCAGGACCCCTGGTGCAGGCCCCTGCGCGGCCGGGGAGCCGCCCACCCTGTGGCCCACGCCGCACCCGCTGCCGGGCTCCGGGCGGACAGACCCCGCGGGGCTCCTGCAGTGCATGGTGCCCGAGCCTGGAGAGAAGCGCAGCTGGGAGCGCCCAGCCTTGAACCAGCACCAGCTCCCCTCCCCACTTCTCGGTCCACACAACACGAGGCCGCCCCACGCGGGAGTGCGGACCCCACAGCCTCGGGCCTGGGCAGCCCAGCGGGGCCCACGGCCAAGCTTGTCCGACACCTCCATTGCTTCAGACGAGGCCTCATCCGCACAAGCGTCCCTCGGGCCCAGCTCCCGGCGGAGGCTCCCCTGGGGCCCCCCCCTGCGGCGCTAACAATGGCCGCACTCAGCACCCCAGGTGCACGGTGACATTCTGCCGGCTTCCTTGTTTACTGCCTGGCAGCCAGGGCCCTCGGACAGTCTGTACACTTCCTGAACCAGCCGCCTTCGTTCCGCTCAGCAGCCTTTACCCGACCTCCCCCGGGAGCCGGGCCCTGCGCGACGGCGGCCCCCGAGGGTGAAGCCCCTCATGGCCAGTGTCTTGACCGTGAGGATAATGAGCAAGAGGAGGGACGTGAGGCTGACTGTCCTGGACGGTGGGCCCCGGCCGGCTCCCCGATGGGGGCTCTTGGAGACGCAGGGATGCTGGCAGATCCCCGGGTCCAGGCCCCCCACTGCTCAGGCTCTGCCCCACAGGCCCTCGCCAGCCCAGGCCGGCAGTCAGGACTGCGTCCGGGCCTTCCTGCTCCTCCTTTGTTGAGATTAGATGTACAGTAAGCGGTGCCTGCTCGTTATTCTGGGGTCAGCACCCAGGGCCAGAGTGAAGTTTGGAATCTCCCTGCAGCCCTTTCCTCGCCCTGTCACCCGGGGTTGCACTGGGTGTGTCCCCAGGGCCCCTCTTAGATGGGTGCAGGGGGCGTGTCAGAGGCAGAATGCCAGCCAGACCCAGCCCACCCGGTTTATTCAGCCAGCGGCACGTGGGGTCCCTCCGTGGGGTCCCGCCGTGGGGCCGAGAGGCACGGCTGTGAGCTCACTGGCCTGCCCTCCTTGCAGTAATCCAGTTCGGCTTTGTCACCTTGTTTGTCGCGTCCTTCCCTCTGGCCCCGCTGTTCGCGCTGCTGAACAACATCATCGAGATCCGCCTGGACGCCAAGAAGTTCATCACCGAGCTGCGCAGGCCAGTGGCGGTCAGGGCCAAAGACATCGGTGAGTGACTCTCGGGCGTGCCGGCTGTGGGGGAGGGGTCCTGCCCCCCAGGAGCCCAGCCCAGAGAGGCCGCATGGGGTCAGGCACGTCCCCACAGGCTCCTGCCGCACCCATCCAGGATGGAGACGTGGGGGGCGGGCGTGGGGGGCTCCTGCACAGCCCCGGCCTCCTGAGGGCGACAGTGCCTCGATGTCTGCCTGTCCCCGCCGCCTGCCTCCTGCACCAGTAGGTCCCCAGGGTGCACGTGCTCTCTGAGGCCCTCCGCACCCCCACACGGGGACCATGTGGCCCCTGGAGCACAGACAGAGCGAGACGGGCAGCCGGTGTCTGCTGAGCTGGTGCCGTTCTAAGTAGGCTGTTGTTTAGTCAGTCAACAGTCAGAAACAGGAAAGGGGAGGCAGGACTCAGGAAGGCGCCGCGTGGCCTGCCTGTGGGGCCAGAGCCCACGGGTGCTAACCCTGAGTCCCTAAGGTTCCTCCTTGCCGTGCAGGAGAGGCTGGGGGTTTATGGGGGGCCGCGCTCGCGGGGAGCGTGGGAACTGGCTGCAGCGTCAGCAGTGAGGATGATGATCTCCATGTGAGGCAACTGAATGTCAAGGTGAAGGCAGAAAGTGCCCGTTTTATCTTGAAATGAGATGGAAAGTCACAAAGGTACATTGAAGTCCCGTTTGGCACAGGTCGAGTCAGCAGGGCAGGTCGCTGCTCATTGCTGGAGGACACAGAGTGCACGGCGTGATAGGCATGTGGTCATTTTCCGGGGGGCGCCGGGCGCTGGGACCCCACCAGGGCGGACTAATCTCGCTGATCCGCCTGGGCTTCTCCCCCGTGGGACATGCCCCTCGGCCACCACGTCCCGCTGTGTTAGCGGGGCTCCTCCGTCCGCGCCTGGCCCCTGGGGGCCCCGCCCTGCCAGCCTCTGGTGGTGACACCCGCCCCCCTCCAGCGCCCCCCTCTGGCCCCTCCTACACACGCTCTCCCAGCTTGAATTGTAGGAAAGCGCCCTTCGCAAGCCCCCGCGTGGCCTCCTGTTGGTGATTCTCGGTGGCTTTTCCGGGGGGGCGGGGGGGATCCACAGGGGGTCCTTCAGGGGCCAGGAAACCTTGCCGTTGTGTAGGGAGGGGCCCCAGAGCCAGGGCTGGGGCCCAAATATAGAGGTCAGGACGCTGAGCTCCTGTCTGTCACCCATGTGGGCGAACCAGGCAGTTGGCGCCCTGCTCTAGGATCAACCCCAGACGGTTGTGCCGGGCTTGGGGGAGGGGCCGTGATTGTTTCCTGAGGCTTTCAGTGTTCGGTCCTCCAAGAAACCTCTTGAGGAAGCTTGGGGAAATCCTCAGTCCCATTTACCGGATGGGGAGACTGAGGCCAGGTGGTTAACAACGCCGAGCAGGAACTGGAGACCTCAAGCCCCCAGCAGCCCCCCCACTCCACCGGCTCCCCCATTCCTGCACATGCCCACGAGGAGAGGGTTTGCCTGGAAAAGCTTATAGTGCACAGCAGAGTCCCCAAAAGGAAAGGGCTGGACAGGGCAGCTTGCCAGGCACTCCCTGGACAGCCCTCGGGAATTCTGCAGCCCTGAGCCCAGTGGCGGTAAAGACAAGAGCGTGGCCTCCCTGACAAAGGCCTGATTCTCAGGCGCCCAGAGGCCCCGGGCCAGCCCCCGGCGGGCGTGTGTTTGCTTTGGCATCCTTAGCTTGGCAAAGCCCTGCTCTCCCCTGCAGCCGCGTCCTGAAGCTGGCAAACCCACCACCCTGAGGGCGAGCGCCTCGGCCACCACCATACCCCCCCCCCCCCCGCCCCGGCGCCCTGCCCCCCGCCAGCGAGGCTGGGACACCTGTCTTCTTTCTCTTGCCCACGGCTCCCCTTTTTTCTCTATTCTTACGGGTCACCTGCTCACTTCCTGGTTCCTGTCTGCTTGGCTGGAGGCATAATCTGCCCGTCTTTCACGAGGTGTTTATGGGCTCCTTCACTGTAACCTTTCCTTGAACGGGCCTTTGTACTGTTCTTATGATCCGTGTGCACCCCGAGGGGACACGGGGCCCCAGGGGCGGTGCAGGGGGAGGCGCCGCGGGGGCCAGCAGTGGGAACCTGGCTCCAGCCTCCCGGCCCGGCCTGTGACACCAGATCAGTGCGCTTCCTGCTGCACTCGGTTTCCGGGGCCTTTCCGGTGTGCCGCCTCTGCCCACGTCCGGCTCCTGGGCCCCGTGTGCGGTTCTCGGGAATGGGGGTTAGCGCCCCCCCCCGGGGGCAGCAGGGGCGCCTTGAGGACCCTGCGGCGTGCGAGAGGCTGACCTGCAGGCCAGGCCTGCGACCTGGTTTTGCTCTTTGTGGACAGGACCCCATGATTTCCGGCGCAGGCTCCCACGGGGGGTCTCGGGCCTGGACACAGAGATGTCCTGGGCCCCGAGCGCCGGGCTCCGTCCTGGGCTCAGAAAGCCCTCCGGCCTCATCCGGCCTCAGCACTCCACTGCCCCTGCTCACCCCTGTGGCTCATTCGTCACCCGTCTCTCTTCCCCGCACTGCGTTCCGGTGGGGCCGCCTCCCCCGGGAGCCCCCTGCCCGGACGCTCCGCCCACACCAGGCTTACCCGTGCCCCATCACCGCGTCTGAGGGGCCTCAAACCCAGAGCCCACAGGGCCAGGCGGGCCACACGGACGGACGAGTGAGCAGCGGGCCCAGGTGATGCCCTCGGGGCACAGAGCAGCCGGCACCCCCTTCGTCCTTGAGCCCTCCTCCCCCTCAGCGGGGACAGGAGTTGGGATCACTTCTGTAGGGACTTCGCCCTGCAAAGAACAGAAGCGCGGTGCGCGGGCCAGCCAGGAGGGGGCGCTACCATAGCCACGGCGCCAGGCCAGCCCCGTGGACCTGGGCTGGGGGGGGGGGCGGGCTCAGATTGCTGCAAATCGAGGTTGTTAAAAACACATCATCCTGATTTACAAACACCAGTCAGTGTTTTTAAGTAGCATGCGAGCGAGCTCGGCGAATCGCCCCCCACGGAGGTGGCACCATCTGGTGCCAGCAGGCTGCTTGCAGAGGGCTCCCGACCCTCTTGTGGTCACTCGGCAAACGTGGACCCAGCAGCGTCCACCCCACGCGCCGGACGCCACGCAAGACCCTGGGAGAGACGCAGGGAGGTGCTGCTCACGCCTGCCCGGGGGCCTGGGGGCCGCAGAAGGGTCACCCGGCCCCAGCAGCCTGGCGGGAGGCACGGCGGCCGACCTCATGGGGAAGCGGCACCCGGCTGAGGCCATCGCCCGCTCGCCCCCGGCCCCGTCCCCATCCGCCACCTGGAGGGGACACAGGCGGGGTGGGTGTCTGCCCGCTCTGTTCTGGCACGAAGGTGCATTGAGAGCAAGCCACCACAGTCACGAGGAAGGTCCCGTGCCGGCCCCCTCAGGTGCTGGAGCCGCTCACCAGAGGCAGGGAGGCCACCCTTGCTCCCGTGCGGCCTCGCAGAGCCGGGTCTGCGGCGCGCTCCACCCGCTGGCTGTGCGGACGCAGCCGGGGCGCTGGGAGCAGGAGACCCCAATGCTCTCGCATGTGGACCTCGGGCTGTGGCTGAGCCGGGCCCCCCACGCGGCCCGGGGCCCCCAGCGCTCACTGCTAAGGCAGAGATGTCCAACCCTGCCACCCCCTCCGTAACACCGGAATGCCAGGCCTCTGCCCCTCCCCCTTCCCAGGAAGTGCTGCCTTCCCCCGCCCGACTCAGATCAGCCCAGGACAGGGACAGAGCACCGGGACGGGGCTCTGAGCCCAGCAGCTGCCGTGACACGTGCCTGGCCTGCTGGGGCCCCGCGAGGCTGGAGGAGGAGGGGGTCCTTCGGACTCTGCTGGGGAGGCCGGTGGAGGGACACGCATTTGTCTGGGTGCCGTGTGGGGACCCTCCTGCTCGCCTGTAATTAGGTACAAGACCGAACCTCCAGCAGCAGAAATGGGGGCCCCCAGACAGGAAGTGTCTCACACGTCGCTGATGTCAAGTTGCTAGACTCAGGGCATGATGCCGGCCTCAGCAGCCAGGGGCCCTGGGTTGTGACGCTACGTCTGGTCTGTCCCCAGATAGCTCCTTGTCGCACCAGAGCTCCGTGACGGGTCTAGGACACCGAAACCTCGCGTTCTTGGGCTCCACTTACTCTTACCTGGACCCTTTTGTGCAGGAACTGCACCCAAATTGAGTCTTTGTCTTTCTAGAAGGAAAGGCTTCGTCCGAGGCAGTCAGCGCGTGAGCAGGTTCATGGGGGAGGGCTCAGAACCACCCAGGGAGCGGCTGATTTTCAGCACCTCTGAGCCAGTCCGAGCCAAGGCTCCGTCATCAGCCAGGACGCCCACCCCCCACCCCCCGCACCCCCACCCAGAGCTCCAGGACGTGTCCTCACTGCCATGCATCTGAGCGCCAGCAGAGGACCGCAGCGGGGCTGCTGGCCTGCGAGCCAGAGTTACTGAGATCCGGGTCAAGGCGGGGCCTTGAAACTGTGCTTCTCTTCTCCCCCAGGGATCTGGTACAACATTCTCCGAGGTGTCGGGAAGCTGGCCGTCATCATCAATGTAAGTGACATGGGGACATCGGCTGAGGGGAGGCCCCGGCTGAGCTGAGACGTGACGGGGCGCCCTTTCCCGAGAAGCTGGGAGGCAGGGGTCTCTGCTCCCACGTCTGGGCAGCCCCAGCCTGGTGGAAGCATCTGTTCAGACACCTGTCATCCCTGGGTCGTGTTGAGGGGTTTGGGTGAGCCATGGATGGGAGCCCCAAATTCTTCTCCACCCGTTTCTATGACCTTGAGCAAAATTCTCCACCACGTCCACCCTTGCCCCTGAGCCCACTCTCTCCCCCAGAGTCCTGAGAATGCCCGAGAGAGACAGAGAGGGAAGACAGAAACAAATTATTCACTAGCAGTCATTCTGTTCTTTTAAAAAGTTAGCTTTTCCCCTTTATATAAAGTGTGTGCCTGTTCTTTAGAGGTTCTGAAAATGCAGAAGCACGCAGACGACGGGGAGCAGCTGCCAGCCGCACCCCCCCAAGCACACACGTGGAGCTTGCTCACCCTTTTGCTCCCTGCCAAACTCCTGCCTGGGCAGCCCCCCGCCGGCATCTCATGCACACCACCCTGCCCCATGGGGTGGCCCTTCCCGCCTCTCCTACCCCTGAGCCCGCAGCTCAGGAGGGTGGTGGCCCCTCTGTATGTGAACCAGCCCTCAGTCTCCCCTGCAGCCTCCTGTCCAGGTCCCCGTGGCTGAGCTGCCTGCTGGGCACATGCTTCAGAGCGCAAGGCTGGACCCCAGGCATGCAGAGCCCAGTCAGCCTCGCAGGTCCAGCGCCCCGTGACCCTCAGCCCTCCCCCTGCAGGCTGTGTGCACCCCGGCAGCTGCTCTCGTGCTGGGTCAGGGTCAGGACCTGGGGACTCAGCTCCCACAGCACAGGAGGTGAAGCTCAGTCCCGGAGGAGGGACCCTCAGAGCCCTCCGTGCGACACCGCTTGCCCTGCTGGTGGCGGCCCCCTGCCCAGTCGAGGCCTTGAGACCCCTCATTAAAGGACCATGGAGGGCAGAGCGTGTACGCTGGACAGCAACGGCCCCTCATCCGAACCTGGGCAGCCAAGCACAGGGCTGGAGGGGGCAGGGCAGAGCTGGAACGGGGTGCAGCCCGTCTGGAGCACCGGGGTGCTGCGAGCGGCTAGAAACCTCGTGGGGACGACAACAGGAGGAATGGTGGCTGACGTTTGTTGAGCATCTAGAATGTTCCAGGCCCTTCCAAGCTCTTTGCACACATACACCCACTAACACACACAGCCTTCAGGGAGGGGGCTGTCATCGCCCAGCTTACACGTGAGGAAACAGGCACAGAGAGGTTAGGTGACGTGCCCCAGGCCACACAGCCAGTGAGAGGCAGCATTAGTCCCCATGCCTTCCTGCTCAGGGGTGTCCTGTTCCTGCCCTCAGGGCCTCCCCCTTAGGCTGCCAGGGGAGCCTCCAGGAGTACCTGGACCTTTCGTTTCTTCACACAACAGTCTGGTCACGTGGCCAACTCGCAGGCAGTGTCACGTGGCCAGGCTCCACTCGGGGCGTGCCCCCTCCCCCCGAGCCGGGGGTCCGCGCTCACCCCGCTGTCCCCTGGCCCAGGCGTTCGTGATCTCCTTCACGTCCGACTTCATCCCTCGCCTGGTGTACCTGTACATGTACAGCCAGGACGGGACGATGCACGGCTTCGTGAACCACACCCTGTCCTCCTTCAACGTCAGTGATTTCCAGAACGGCACGGCGCCCAGCGACCCCCTGGACCTGGGCTACGAGGTGCAGATCTGCAGGTACGGCTCTCGGCGTCCGTCTTTGAAAAGACCCATTCGGGGCGTTTTCGGGAAGAAAACCGCAGTCCAAGTGAGAACTCTCAGGAGCAAGACCCAGAGAAGCCCGGTGGTGCTGCATGCAGACACACGAGGGAGGCGCCGAGAGGTGGTTTAGGAGTCCCTTTGGCTTTTAGGGGTTTTCATGTTTGTTTATTCTGAGAGAGAGAGAACGTGAGCAGGGGAAGGGCAACGAGAGAGGGAGAGAGAATCCCAAGCGGGCTCCACACTGTCAGTGCAGGGCCGGGTACGGAGCTCGAACTCGTGAGCCGCGAGATCACGACCCGAGTTGAAATCGAGCAGATGCTTAACTGACTGAGCCACCCAGGTGCCCGCTCGGAGTTCCTTTATCTAAGGCCGTAACAGCCGCAGGCGTGGCTGGATCCAGGGGTTGCCGTGGATGGATCAGGCCCCCGTGGCACTGCCTCCCAGCTTTGCATTACTCCGCGGTGGCACCGTGTTCCGGCGGGCAGTGAAGACGCCGCCTCCGCTCGGCCATCCCACGGGCAGAACGTCTTTCTCAAGTCAGGGCTGAATCTCACTGGCCTGCCCAGCGCTAAGGGAAGCCCTGTTGCCTGCGGGTAGAGGCCAGACCGGGGTCACGGGCCAGGGTGTGGGGTCCTGGTGGGAGAATTGAGACGCCCTAAGGAAAACTGGGCGCTCTGACTCGCAGAAGAGGTAATGGATGAGACAGCCAGACACCTGAGGACCCGAGTCCACACCTGGGCTTGCGGGGAGCACCACAGGGAGGGGGAGGCAGGCCGGGCGTGGGAGGCCGAGCTGAGACCCGGCCACTCCCTGTGCGTCTCCCACATGCACCAGCCTTGGGGTCTGGGGACTCGGGAGTGGGTGGCATGGTCCCTGCTATCCAAGGACCTTGGTGCCGACCAGTGTAAAGGGGAGACGGTAGCCAGAAGCCCAGGCGAAGGGTGGACGCGGGAGGGGGGGGGGTCACTCCAGGGGGCGGGGCCACGCGGAGAAAGCCGGGAGGTGCGAACCCGGCTGAGCTGCTCTAACCCGGCTTATTCAGAACACGGAAGACCTCAGGGGCCACCATGCCAGTCACGGAGCCCGTGCGGTAGAGCTCGCTAGTTCCGTGACCCCTGCTCCTGGGTCTCCGTCATCCTGACCCATTAAAGGGGAGTCGGGGGGGGGGGGAGGCACTGCTGGGCTCTGGGTACCGACGGCAACAGGAAGTAGCTTGCAGCAAAACCACAGGCCCAAGAACTGGAAAGCCAGCAGCGGCGGGGCCTTTGGGGAAGGGGACCAGGCCTGCCCAGCCTCGGGGTCCCAGCGGCGCTGCAGCAGACAGCGGGCACTCGGGCCGGCCCCGCGTGGGGACAGCACGGTCTCGCGGTGTTGTGTCAGCACAGGCACGGCGAGTGAGAGCCAGGTGCGCCAGGTAGAGAAGGCGCCACACGGCCAGGCCCGCGACACAGCCCGTGCCCAGAAGCCCACCCACCCACACGCTCCTGGGGCACAGAAACCCCAGGAAAGGCCCGGAATTATCTGCCACCAGCTTCAGGGAGGTCACCTGGGGAGGGGCCGGCGTGGGGGCTGGGAGTGCCGGGCAGGGGGCTCCCGACGCCCTCCCCCACCCTTAAGTAGGCACAGGTCCTGGCTGGTGCTGACAGGCAGACCCCCCTCGCCCCCCGGGTTCCTCTCCTCCGCCAGCGCCTCGTCCCTGTTGTCCGAACGCTTCGTGCCGAGCACACAGGAGGGTCTGTTTTAGGGAAAGAATAATCAGGAACAAACAGGGCAGGGAGATGTGTTCGTGTGATTAGGAATTTCCCCTGAAAGGTCAGTGTTGCAGTTTACAAGGTTAGCCTCGCTTTCCAGAACCGGACACTGGGTCCCAGACGCTGGCTAAGGAAGCGGCCCAGCGTCAGCCCAGGGGCCTGGCCACGTGAGGGGAGGCCGGGGGGCAGGGCCAAGACCCGTTTTTAAGCATCTTTGCTGCTTTTTCCCCTCGTGGCCTCAGAAGACGGTGGGTCAGACCACTCGCTCCCCGGGATTTGGCCCCAGCCAGGCCCTCCCCCCATCCTGGCCACGACCCTGCTCCACAGGCCTGGGAGCTCTGGGCCTCCACCAGCCGCACCCCTGCCCGCGGCTCTCACGGAGCTGGCGGCAGGAGGTGGGTGTGCAGAGACGCAGAGCAGCCCGAGAGCCGGCGTGGCTGCTGGCCACCATTCGCTCCTGCCCTGAGACCCGCACCGTCTCACCTGGTCCCCACAGCCACCCCTAGAGCGGGCGCTGTCGTCCTCTTGGTGGGGGCTGCAGGCACACTGGCAAGGGGCAAGTAGGGACATCTCACCCGGGCAGGTCTGTAAGGGGCTTTGAGGGATGCCTAGGAGTTTGCCAGGTGCCCCAACCATTCTCGCTAGCACCCCGATGCCGCCGGCCCAGCGCACAGAAAGAAAAGGGAGGAGCGAGTGTGTGTGGCCTCTGACGCTGGGAGAACGGGCCACCTGTCCCCACCAGAGAGCAGGCTGAGCGAGTCCTGTGTCGCTCGCGTGCAGCTGCTGCCCAAGTGCGTGTTCCCAGCCCGATCCCATCTCCGGGTTTGGCGGCTCAGTGCTGAGTGGCTCCTCAGAGACTCCCATCCCGGGAATAAAGCTCCGTGGGTGAGGAGCCCTGACCGTAGTGCGGTCCTGAATGCCCACCCCTGAAACGGGGCTGGGACGCAGGAGCTGCTCAGTAAGTGCTTCTAGCATGAGTGAGACGACGGCAGAGAGGCCCAGAGAGGCCAAGCCATCGCTCAGGAACACACAGCAGGGACGTCACTGGTTCTGGGTGCAGATTAGGGCTGTGCCCGCAGAGCTAGCTGCCTCCTCTTCGGGCCCTCCAGAAGGTCCCAGCGGGGGCACCAGCAGCCCTGCCCCCCTCCCCCCCCAGGCTTTGGGGAAGACTTTGCCACGCGTAGCACAGGGGCAGCCCCGTTAAAGCCAACAGCATCCCCTGAATTTGGAGGGCCTGGGCGGAGACAGGACCCGGCGTTGTCGCCCTCAGCCCGATGGGCATCTCAGGACCTTGGAGAACAGGAGGGCGGGGCCGGGGCGGGCGCTGTGAAGCGGGGGCGGGGCCAGGGCGCTGTGAAGCGGCGGCGGGGCGCTGTGAAGCGTGGGCGGGGGGGGGGGGGGGGGGGCGGTGACAGGCTGGCAGCGGGGAACCTGGGGGAAGGGTGTCCGCCCAGGCAGGGGTCATCGGACAGCACCTACGACTGGTCACCCGGGGTGGGGGGGGCTGGTGTCCTGTGTCCATACGGAGCGAAGAGCCAAGAAGCTTGGACTGGAAGAGAGGAGGGAGGGGCGCCGGGGCGCTGGGTCCCGCGGGACAGGCAGGCAGGGGGACAGCTGACTGGCAGGCGCTGTCCGCACCAAGTGCACATTTGACCTCAGACCCGGCTGCTTTCAGAGAACGTGTGTTGGTTGGTTTTCCGGCAGGCTTCTCGGTAGAGAGGGGAGCCTGGAGAGGTGGTCTTCAAACCTGGGTTTCACGGAACCCAGTGGGGGTTTGGCGGACAGTGGACACTGGGCTGAGGTGGGGGGGGGTGCCTGCTGTGTGCGACCCACTAGGGTCTCCGGTGAGATCCCTTTGGGAAAGAAGGGTTCCACCTCCTTTAAAAGTCTGGAACCCCATGGGGCGCCTGGGGGGCTCAGTCAGTTGAGCATCTGACGGCTCAGGTCATGATCTCACAGTTTGTGGGTTCGAGCCCCGCGTCGGGCTCTGTGCTGACAGCTCAGAGCCTGGAGCTGCTTCGGATTCTGTATCTCCCTCTCTGCTCCTCCCACCCCTTTCTCAAAAATAAACATTAAAAAAAAATTGTTTTAAGTTTGGAACCCCTGGACCGGCTGGTCCAGATCTGACTTCTCTGAGCTCATGGACAGGCCTGTGGGGCCTCTTCGTGGTGTCTGAGTTTTCCATGAAGCCCCTGGGACCCTGCCCGGCCCTCGGGGTCCAGGCCACAGCCTCTAACACGGAGAATGACTCCCCCGAGTGTGAGCGGGGGTCTGGGGCCTCTCCGGCAGGGAGGGCCGCGCACCCGGCGGGGGTCGGGGTCTGGTGGAGGCTTCCTGCGGCCGTAGGGCGCCGGCCGCAATCCCAGTTTCTGCATGAAGACCCGACCCTGATGCCCGGCCACCCCCGCAGGTACAAGGACTACCGGGAGCCCCCGTGGTCGGAGCACAAGTACGACATCTCCAAGGACTTCTGGGCCGTGCTGGCAGCCCGGCTGGCCTTCGTCATCGTCTTCCAGGTGCGGGGGGTCCCCTTTCCAGAAGGTTTGAGAACTGGGCACTGAGGAGGCGCCAGAAGGCAGGAGGTGGCTGGTGACGGGGGCCTTCGGAGCCCTGGAGAACTTACTCCGGGGCCCCCAAAGAAGGGGCCTGGTGACTCCAGGCCCCCTCAGGGACAGGTCCCAGGCAGGCAGGGAGGCCTGGGCCAGCATTGACAGTGGGGTTTGGAGCCCTTCGGGGAGGGCAGGCTGAGTTCCATGTAAGGGCCCTTTAATGAAGGAGACCGTCTCCCCTCTGAGTCTTTCGCGGTCTGTGTACCAGGAGGCGTTTCCAGAGGACACGCACGAGGGCCTGGGTTCCCCACTGACTCTGGACCCCAGAGGAGAGCCAGGGGGCCCAGCCTCGCCTGACCTCTGGGGAGGGGACAGGCTGACTCTGAGGCCAAAGTGATTCCCAGCGGACAGGACCCCAGACTGGGGACCAGGCTGGTACTTACAGCCGCTAAGGTCTCAGAGATGGGGGAGCATCGTTAGCCACGTGGGCCCAGGTTCCCTTCACGTGTGTCCTGCTAGCATCTGGAATCCCAAGAACTGGGCTCAGGCCCCTGCTCTGCCTTTTCTGCACCACATGGCCCTGGGCAGGACTTCCTCCCACGTGCCCCTCCCCCTGCCCGAGGCGCTGCTGCCTCACCTGGCAGCTTTCCAGCACACTCTGCAACAGACAAGTGTCTGGGGCTCAGTCTGCCAGAAGCAGAGCCTGAGACAAGGGTTCTGTGCAATTGGGTTACTGGAGGCAGCCTCCCAGGGTGAGCCCCAGCCAGGAAAGGCGAGCAGGGCAGGGGCACCCGCACGGCCCACAAGGTGTCTGACTCAGCCAGACGCGCTGACAAAGGGCCACTGGACAGAAGTTTTAAAAACAGATTTTGGTGTTTCCGTAAAAGCCGTGACCCACCAGACGCTTTCCCCGGGGAGGGCGTGGACTTCTGAGGTCGCCCTGGAGGCCCTGCAGGGTGAGGAAGGGGCTGTGGGCCCAGCAGAGACCACGTTCCGGCTGCTTCTGTGCTATTTCTGTTTTACGTGCCGCCCCCCCGGCCCCCCACCAAAGCCCGGCGCATGTTATATGTGGCGATGCCTGACCAATCAAACCACTTAAGCTCCCCGGCCCCGGGATTCCCAATTGCTCAGAAACTGGCTGTTTGCTGAGCTCAGATCCTTCATAGGCGTTGGCCACCGTTTCCGGACGGCCCACCGGCCGGTTTCCTGCTGCATTTATACCTTGCGGGAAACAGGCCCGGGGAGCCCGAAGTATGTGCCTGAGATCATGGGCTGGGCGTGACAGGGCGGGTGCAGGTGGGGACAGCGGCCCCCCTCCCACCCCCCGCACACCGACTGTCCTTGCAGAACCTGGTCATGTTCATGAGCGACTTTGTGGACTGGGTTATCCCGGACATCCCGAAGGACACCAGCCAGCAGGTGCACAAGGAGAAGGTCCTCATGGTGGAGCTGTTCATGAGGGAGGAGCAAGGCAAGCAGCAGCTGCTGGACACGTGGATGGAGAAGGACCGGAAGAAGCAGGAGCCCCCCACCAGCCACGGCCCCAGAGCCGGCCCGGGCAGCCCCGAGTTCCCCGCGGGCGCCCCGTAGCGCCCGGAGGCCGACGCGCGAGCCCCCCGCCGGGCCCCGTGGCTCCTGGAAGACCACCATCTTCCTGTCTTTCTTCTGTTGTTGTTTTTTCTCCTCATTTTTGCACAAAACCATAACGCAGGGAATGTTTTTATCTGTAGTATTCAAGGATGATCAAAGCAGTCGCTGGGGACAGGGCGGTAGCACGCGGGAGTGCGGGCGCTTCGCAGAAACACTTCTCGGGGACCGAGACCTGCTTGGCGGCGGAACGCGAGCAGAGGCCTCCAGAGAGCGTCTTTCCCAAGCCGCCTGATGCCTTTAGAGAGAGATGCAAAAAGACGTCCCAGAGCGTCGGGCAGGCGCCGTGCAGTACTGGAGGCAGAGTGGAAAACTGAGGCTGACGCCATTCCCAGAAGGCGTCCCTGCCTCTGGGTCGGAAAAGTCAGACGGCTTTTCGTCTTCTGTTTTCGGTCCAGACACCAAGTCGCTCTGGCCAGAACGAGGTGCCTGCGAGCTTAGCACCTAACAGGGCTCCGGTGCCCCGGTTAGCAGGTGACCCACACCTCCAGGGGCACCCCCCCATCAGCCGCACACCTGCTCCGGCCCTGTGAGCGGCCTCAAAATGGTCTGTCCTCTGGGTGGGACAGAAAACAAAGGAAAGAAAACCGGGTTGGCAAGAACAGAGCAGAGAGAGACGACCTTGAGGGCCTTCCTAAAGGCAGCTTCGGGTTTCAAGGAGTCTTAAGGCATCAGAAAAACATTTGCAGATTTAGGATATTTATTAGGTTTTTAATAAATCAATTCTCTGGTGGACGTGAGGGTTTTTTCCTGTAGCTCAGAGGTGGAAGGAGTTTGTTTCATTAGTTAACCAAATACCATTGAGAAGAATTTCAAATACTGTTACTACCAAAGATTTTTATTAATAAAGGCTTCTATTTTGGTAACACTTCTCTATATTTTTACTTACAGGAATGTTACTGTCAGACACTTATCGCTTTAATGCTTGTAAAATCCTAGATGCCATGAGTGCTCTAAATTTGCAGCCATTATCCTAACCGATTACCTGAAGTTTCTCGAGCACCAAGAGAAACAGAGGGGATGTCTCAGCAAAGAAAGGGAAGAGAATGTAACGGTGTTTGTCCTAACGTGGTTGGTACAGTGTCTTTCCCTCAAGTCGCCAACTGACCGAAGTCCGCAGGTGCCGTAGATTTCCGTTACTTGCTAAACCTTACAGTCTGATGCTTGTTTTCTCTTGTACAGTGAGCCTGAAATGGGGTTTTTGTATATAAACATTGTATTAAAAATTAGGTGATTACCCAAAATCCTTTCATGGAAACCTTTTTTTTTTTACAAAGAGCATGTACGCAAATCCGCAGAGGACCGTGGCCAAACGTTCATTCGACTAAATAAATTTGGACACACAACCACATCCTTCCGGTGAGCGCTGTCCATGCGGCCCCCACCCAGGGCCCCCGGGTCGAGCCGCAAACTTGGGAGGGATGTGGATTCACAGGCATCTGGTCCCTCTGGTGCTGGACACGGGGCTCGTTCTAGACGTTCCTGGGACCTCCTTGCTCGGTAAGAGTGTGTGTGCACGTGTGTGGTTTTGTATGTGCTTGCGTCTGCCTGCGCCACACGTACACACGTGTTGATGTGTGGGTGGGCTGTGTGCACACGTGTGCTGGCGCAGGCACGCGGGTCCCTGGTTCATGCTGGGAGGGAGTTGGGGTCACACCTTCCCAACACCCTCTTCCACGATCCTCAAGGTCCCCCCTGGTCCCTCCAACCCAACACGATAGCTCTGAGGATTCCAGGGACCTAAAACGTCCCCCGCCCTCCTGGGGACCCACCTAGAATTGCCGGTGTTTTCCTTGGGGCCCATGGGAACACGTTTTAAAACTACCACCTAGAAACACAACCACTTCCTGAAAGGTATTTTTCGCACCCAACGCCGGCAAAGCCGCACCGCCCTGGTGGCTGGGGGACCTTCCTTCCACCTCCGCAGGCCTGGGGACCAGGGAGGGCTTCGGGCGCCCCCTAGTGCCCGCATTCTGCATCACTGAGAAAACAGCAAAGCCCAAGCTCACAGGGCCCTGAACGTCCTTCTAAAGCTTTGGAACCACTTCCTTAGTCCAGACGTGAAGGCAGCGTGCAGGGTCAGCATCGCAGGGACCTCCAGGAAGCCCATGACGGCCCCACTTGTCAAATGAAGAAACAAACGGCCTCCGAGTGGGGAGGTGACTTGCTCCAGGCCACGGGGCTCCTAGCAGCTCAGCCGAGATAAGCACCCAGACCTTGTAGACGTTCGTCCATGCAGCGTCCAGGCTGTGTGGACAGAGCAGACCCATCCTCGCCTCAGGCTGTGACTTCCGGCAGAAGGTGTGAGGTGCTTACCCAGGAGACAGACCCCCGAGCCAGACAGTTTTAGCAGAAGAAAGAGGCGCTGATGAAGTAGCACAGGGTGTGACAAGGTTGGTCAGGGAGGCCCCTGGAGGCCTGAGCAACAAGGAGCCAGCAGGCCGTTCAGGCAGCAGAAGGGCAGTGCAAAGGCCCCGAGGCAGCGGCGTGCGGACAGCTGGCTGGAGGGGAGGGGCGGGGGAGGGCAAGAGACAGGGTACGAGATGGCCAGAGCCGACTGTCACAGGGCTCCCAGGAGACCTGAGGACCTGGGGCTTGGTGGCAGATGTCACAGCAGGGGCTGGGTGGTGTTAACCAGCCCAGAGGTGGGATCCGATTCACATTTTGAGGTCACTGCATTTGTCAGGGGAAAACTGCAGTGGGATGGGAAGCCAGGGAGCGGTGCTGCTGAGATTCAGGAGGGCGCTGGTGGGGTTTGGATGCAGATGGAAGAGGTGGGGGAGAAAATCCAAGAGATGATGCCACAAAGACCCGTCTGGCCACAGAAGGACCCCAGCCGCGGGGTCACTGTCACCTCGGACAGGAACAGATGGGGCCCAGAGAGGGTTGGGGCTCCACTGCAGTCACACAGCAAACCAGCAACACAGCCATGCTGGGAACCCAGGCCCTGTGGCCCCCAACGCTGAGTGCCGTCTGCTACGGGTCCTGGAGGGGTGTCCTGCCCGCCCCCAGGAGGGCAGTGATGGGCCAGGGCCGCGCAGGCCTGAGGTTGGGGCGGGGCGGGCACTCATGCTGGCATCTGCCTTGGGGATTGTGCCTCCCTCGCCAGGGGGAGGCCACCGTGAGCTGCAGCCAGCCCGGGAGGCCGCCGTGAGCCCCGGAGGCCGCCGTGAGCCCAGGACATCTGTTTGGCAAGTTCACCACTTGCTTATTTTTTAGTTGACTTAACACGTAAAAACCAAGTAAATCTACGTAAAAGCCCAGATCTGCACGTTCTCCCGAAAGCTCCCAAGCCGTCTGACAACACAGCCCCGTTCTGCAGTCTGTCATCTTCTCCCACGTGACCGGGGCCGTGGCGGCTGTTGTGATTCAGACAGTGCGTGCACCCTGCAGTCTCCCACAGCCCCCTCCCGCCCGCCCTCCCCCGTGTGCCTGCCCGCTGGCGAGGGGGCAGCTGGGACGCGGGTCCCGAGGGTCGCCGGGGCCAGGCCCCAGTCCTGGGATCCCAGACCAGCCATGAGACTCCCTGGCACAGGGCGTGGCCAGGTGTGTGCTGGGCACAGGGGTGTCCCCACCCCAAGGCCGGAATCGGAGCCCCTACTCAGGGGCACCCACGTCCCCACCCCCACACACATTCATGTACAGGTCCCAGGAGTCATTTGTGTGCCCCTTAAAATAAGCCACCACCACAGATGGTGTGTGCCCCCCACTCAGGCAACACTCATTTACTTGTCCAAGTTTTGTAAGAGCCTCAGCACAGGAAAGTGCTAGCTCTCGCCAGAAAACAGACCAGTAGGGAGGAGCGGGACGGTGCCAGGCACAGAGAGGTGCCAGAAAGTGCTGAATAAATAAATGAGTGAGGGAGGGGGGGATGCAGGGATGGACGGATGGACGGATGAGTGGGTGGATGATGGGTGGTTAAGTGGGTAGATGGACGGATAGATGGATGGACAGATGATGGATGTTGGAAGGGTGGCCGGATGGATGAGTGATTGGATTATGGAAGGTTAAGTGGGTGGATGGATGGATGAAGGATGGCTGGCTGGCTGGCTGGCTGGATGGATGAGTGGGTGGATGGATGGATGGACATAGGTAGATGGATAGGTACACGGATGGTTGTTTAGAGGGATGCACATCTGGATGGATAGATGGACGGATGGATGAGCAGTGCACGATGGGTCATTAAATGGAAGGTTGGATGGATGGACGGATGGGCGGAGGAGGGGTGGATAAGGACGCGTGCGTGGACGGGTGGACGCACAGAGGGGATGGTGAGACGGAGTGATGGATGTCTGGGTGCATGGATGGGTGGATGGGGACGGTAAGAGACTGACAACGGGGCTTCTGCCTTTGAGCAGAGTGGACCTTGGAGTCAAGGCATTGGTGGAGGAGGTGAGGGGGGTGTGGTGCCTTCTGGCCCACAGGTCCATCCACGGCAAGTAGCCCACTCACTGCTCACTCACACAGCTCGTGGCCGCAGAGTGTGTGGCACCCGAGACACTGACCTGGACCAGCGGGGGATTTAGCCTCGTTTGCTCAGACGCGCTGCTGTCTGCTGCTCCTGCCAGAAGCCCGCCAGGGATGCACGTCTGCGGAAAAGGCAGCATCTTGTGGATGCTGAGGTCTGATTCCCTCCACTCTGCTGAGTAACTGATCTGCTGTGTTCCATGCTCACCCCCCACTCTCTTCGCCCCCCACCCCTAGCCCGAAGTATGACGTACGGAGAACCGTACAGCTTACATGTGCAGTCAGCCACCTTCTGCAGAAAACACACACGCCTGTAGCCAGGATGCTCCCTCCTGCTCACCCCTCTTCACCAGCGGTGAGTGGCCCTGACCCGCGACCCGGCTTCCAGTCCCGGAGAGGCTTGCCTGGTTCAGCTGATGGTGGCTGCTGCCCTCTGCTGGCTGCCTGTGGGGGCTGCACTGGGGATGGCAAAATTATTTAAAGTTATTAAATTTTAACAATTTAAAATTATTAAATGATCACCAACGTAATGGCTTAACGCAACACAAATGTAATCAATTCCTTGATTTCTTTTTCTGTTGCTTCATTATTGGTGTATCGAGGTGCAACCGATTTCTGTACGTTGATTTTACATCCCATGACTTTGCTGAATTCATAGATCAGTTCTAGCAGCTTTTTGGTGGAGTCTTTTGGGTTTTCCATGTGGAGTATCATGTCATCTGCAAAAAATGAAAGACTGACTTCTGCGCCAACCTGGATGCCTTTTATTTCATTTTGTTGTCTGACGGCTGATGCGAGGACTTCCAGCTCTCTGTAAAACAGCAGCGGTGAGAGTGGACATCCCTGTCGTGTTCCTGATCTCAGGGGGAAAGAAATCAGTCCCATTCACAACTGCACCAAGAACCATAAAATACCTAGAAGTAATCCTAACCAAAGATGTAAAAGATCTGTATGCTGAAAACTATAGAAATCTTATGAAAGAAACTGAAGAAGACACAAAGAAGTAGAAAAATATTCCATGCTTATGGATTGGAAGAACAAATACTGTTCAAATGTCAATACCACCCAAAGCCATCTACACATGCAGTGCAATCCCAATCAGAATTGCGCCAGCATTCTTCTCAAAGCTAGAACAAACAATCCTAAAATTTGTATGGAACCACAAAAGACCCCAAGTAGCCAAAGTAATGTTGAAAAAGAAAACCAAAACGGGAGGCATCACCATCCCAGACTTTAGCCTCTACTACAAAGCCGTCATCATCAAGACAGTATGGTATTGGCACAAAAACAGACACACAGACCAAAGGAATGGGATAGAGAACCCGGAATTGGACCCACAAACGTATGGCAAACTAATCTCTGACAAAGCAGGAAAGAGT